TACAAAAACAAAGATGTAGTAAATGCAGTGAACATACCAAAGGCTGTCAAAACTCCCTAAATTGATTTAGATACAAAGGAATAGAATATCTAGAAATATGACTCACAACTAAATAAACCCACATCATAAAGGGATAGATGTAATTTCAAGACAAACATTACGAATAAAGATAAAACATAATTACAAATGGATAAACACTTCTTTAATAAATAACCCTTGCACAATAACTATATGGAAAACATTAAACAAAAAACTCTGAATAACATCTCAAGACAACTCTGGTGTCATTGGATTCCACTCATGTTCTACTACCTAGAGAAATTATGCATGCAAACCCCCCAAACCCCCACAATCTTGGCCTGGATAGCAAAGGAGGGCATGAAGTATACTAGGGAAGTTGCTGGGCAATATAAGAATACACACAAAATATAGCACTATACTAACACTATCCACAGAATAAGTCACAATGTATACACAATCCTACAGGTATTCAAGGCAGGATAGAGTGTATGACCAACAAGCAGGATGAAAGTGGCATGATAGAGCCTAAAAGGAAAACTCAACCTCACACTTACAGTGAAGTCAAAGGAGTTAATTGTTGCCATTTACTGTCCGATACTGCCATACATCCTCCTGATGTATACCTATCTTTTCACTCTAAAACCCTAAACCACCACCACACCCCAGGTTGGCACGTCCCCTCAGAACTGTGCATGAACCACCAGGAGTACCCAGCTCCAATGTCTTCCTGGAGTGCCCCACATTCTGCTCAGAATACAATGTTGACTATATCAGAGGTCAAGATGCTGATACATTCCCATACCGATGTTATTCACTCATGTTCCGTCCTGCCATGCATACATGGTGGATTCTGTATCTTTCTAGGTAGGAGTTGGGTGTGCAGCCCTCTAAAGGGTTATCATAGGGTTAAAGTTCTGAGAGCAATGCACTGAGATAGAGGGAAATGGACACCATTTTCTTATAGAACATAAGAAATAGTCATAAACAACACAGGTACAGCTGCAGTGGTCTCATATTTACCTCAAAATTAATTCTTACTGTCTCTTTCCTATGAGTTGGCACAAAGTGTTAACAGAGGGAATAAATACATGCTGGGACAGGTTAGGTTTAATTTTTTTGGTTTGCATGATACCCTGGTTTTGGAACATCATCTCTGGAGGTTGCGTCACTCTTAGTAACAATTACCTCGTAAGGGGAAGTGAAAGTGTATATCAATAATAGTATAACTTCATGTCTACTGTATTCTATTCACATTTTACCCTGCAATTCCCCTGGCACCTCTCATGCCCTTCCCAGAAAGCAGGACCAAGGTTGTTTGTATTAGGATTTCCATGGCACAATTTCTATATATTTGGATATGAAAGTGAGAGAAATCCAGGGATTCATGGCCTTCCCTGAAAGCAGGACCAAGATTGTTTGTATTAGGGTTTCTATATATTTGGATACGAAAGAGTGCGAGAAATCCATGGATTCCACAGTCATCGTGATCGGTTTTGCGAAAGTATTCTGAACATTTACCAGAGAAAAACAAGAACTGTGGAAAATGGATATGTTGAAAAGATAATGTTGCTATATTTCGTTTTAACAATACAAGTACTTCAGCATATTTCCTGTCACTTTGGCAATCAAACTAAGAAATGTGGTTCAATATCCTAGTGATATAGTTTAGCATGCAATATGAGGTAGTTGTCAGGCAAAATAAGCAGGGCGATTCTTACCATGGTGAACCGCTGCTCCCGAGGGACACTTGCTGGCGGCCCGGCGCTCCTTCACATCCCGCCCAGCGAAACGTTTACCAGGCGCTCCACGTGATCTTGCCACTTGTAGTAGGGACAAATGACGGAAATGGACGGATATATAGGAAGATACAGCAATTCAATATGTAAAGAGCCCCACTAATATTAGAGTAGACTACAGAGTTTGTTTATACAGTCAAAGTCATTTGCGAGTCCAAGGTAGGAAAGCCAGCTGGATGTGAACAAAACGACCAAAACAAACTGCTTGCAAGGACGTGGATTTCATTTGTGAATTATTTTTTTCCCACAGAAGTAGAAGAAAAACTTCCAGGTAGAGCCTCTTGTGGAGTTGTCAACATGATGTATGTGATGGTTATATCTACCGCAGTGTGGTACAAATAGAATTATAGTAACGGAGTACCGGTAACTACTGGCAGTTCCCAATATTTTGATCATAGTTGGCTGAAAATGTCAGTGGCATGGTAGACTTTCTCATAAAATGAAATGGGGTCAACATTTTGTGAATAGCGCAAGGGATTAATGGATCAGCAAATTTTAAGACTTACAGTAGCAAGCAAATTGCCAATAAAGCATATATATGCATATATATACATACCTACAAACATGTATATCTATGTCTGTCTGTCTGTCGTCTGTCTGTCTGTTGTCTGTCTGTCTGTCTGTCTGTCTTTCTTTCTTGCTTTCTTTCTTTCTTTCTTTCTTCTTTTTCTTTCTATCTACCTACTGGTTATCTATCTATCTATCTATCTTATCCCTATGTATCTTGGCATCTATCTATCACGAATTATATTAAACATATCTACCTACCTACGTACCTACTGAGCAGTTACCCACCTACCTATTATTTCATAGTACCTACCTTACGGGTACCGTTATTTGGTAAAATGTATGGCATAGTGTAGACTATATAATGGTGGGTCCGGATACGGCATCTCACCTACCTACGGACTTAACTACTTAGCACACCTCCACCAACCACATACCTACCCATATCCTACCTACACTAACTACCTACCCTACTATATTATCTATATATATATATATCCTCTATGGGTCTATCTACCTATCTACCTTTATCTATCTAATCTACTCTATTGTATCTATCTATATGTTATATAGTGTATATGTATATTATGATGCATACAATTATTATATCTATAACTATAAGTATATATATTATATAACTAATACATCTACCTACCTACCTACCTACATAACATAATAGTACATACATACATACAGTACCTACACATACATACATACATACATACACACAACATACACATAAATAAGATACAATTAAACCTTATAATAATATATATATAATATATATATATAAATAAATATATATGTAATATTAACTATATATATACTAGTATTAGTATGTGTGTTGTGTGTGTGCATGGTGTGTGGTGAATGTGTGTGTATAGATTAATATACATATTGTATATATATATAGCATATACATATATATATTATATATATATATATATATATATATATATATATATACATATAGTGTATAATGTATAATATATATGTATATTAAGTATATAATATAAGATTATATATATATATATATATATATATATAGTATATATAGACATATATATAATATATGTATATATATATATATATGTATATATATATGTATTTATATTATATATGATATATATTATATATGTATAGTATATAATTATATATATATATATACATATTGAGTATGTATATATATAATATATAATAGTATATATATATTATATACATATATATACATATGTATAGGGTATAATACATATATATATATATATATATATATGATATATATATATACAAATATTATAATATATAGTATTATAATATATATATAATATATATTATATTTATATATATATATATATATTATTATAATATATAGTATATATTATTATATATATATATATATATATATACATATATATTTATGTATTATAATATGTATATGTATAATATATATCGGTATATATATTATTAATTATATAATATATGTAATATATATATATGTATATGTATATAGTATATAATATATATATATATATGTATATATATATATGTATATATATACATACTATATATATATATATATATATATATATAGTATATCATATATTATTATAATATGATATTATTTAATATGTAAATATAAAATTATATATATATTATGTATAATATATATATATAATTTCTATATGTGAATGTATATATATAATTATATATATATATAATAATATATATATATTAATATATATATATATATATATAATATATATATATATATTTATATGTATAAGTGTATTATGTAGTATATGTATATATATAATATAATATATAATTAGATATATATAATAATATATATTATTATTACATACTTATATGATTACACACACACACACATATATTTATAATAATATATTTATAATAGATAGATAGATAGATAGATAGATAGATAGATAGATAGGATAGATAGATAGATAGATAGATAGATAGATAGATAGATAGATAGATAGATAGATAGATAGATAGATAGATAGATAGATAGATAGATAGATAGATAGATAGATAGATAGATAGATAGATAGATAGATAGATAGATAATAGATATAGATAGATAGATACTCTCAGTGTTAAGAATGTTAACATTCAAAGTGGGCCTTTTGTTGTTTGTGTAAGGGGTAGGTGACTGTACACAAGCAATATTCTTAGATATTTGTTGATCAGTGACTCATGGCTTTGTTGTCTCATGTTATTTTTACCAGTAGTACTTCCCTCATATGAGAATCATCTTTTCAGTGCTTGCCTAAGAAGTCTTACATCTGTAATTCTCCTATGAATAATTTTACCAACATCAGAAGTGGATGCTTTCTTTTAATTTAGATCACTAGATTAGCAAGGGTATGGATAATGGTACGCTCTAACTTTAGTGGTTTTACACTATTACCCTACTTAGTTTTTCTCGTGCCTTCTCTCTAATTGCTCTATTGCCCATTCCCTCTTAGTTAAGGATATTTCTGGAATTTCTTGAACTTTTGTTTTTTTCATTAATGAATTTCTTCATTAATGTCAAATCCTTACAGTGCTTATGAATGGGGTTATATGGCTTAACTTAGGATGATTCCTCTTCCACCAAAACTTCCAATTTGTCATCTACTGGTGCCATCACATGGACCTAGTTTGAATGTCTAA